AAATGGCATTTTTCTCAATTGACGTACCAATCAGTTTATCAAATTTTTTTCAAAAAACTACTTCCTTTTACGAAAATTTTAAGCCTATTCCAATTGTGGCCAAACAATTTTTACAATATTTTCGGAATTTTTAAAAATATTTTGAATTTTTAAATAATTATTTTTGTTTTTTTAAACTACGTACTTTTATGTATTTTAATGCACTGATTGCGAAAATCATAGTGACAATACCCGAAAATTTGATTTTAATGGTTAAAAACATTTAAAAAAGTCCTAAAAATTATGGTTTTTTACGTTTATTGTGTACAATATGAAAAATTTTTAAAAAGTGCAAAAAATGTATTTTAAGGATACCTATAATTTTGTCTAAAAGTTTTTCTTTATTTTTGCATATTTTACCCTATAATAATAATAAAAATTTTTTAAAAAAATATTTTTATTAGTTGAATTTTTTTATTATTTTTGTAGTCCCAAAAAAATTATTTTATAAAATATTAAATTTAGGGAATCCTTGAATTTTTTTTAAAACGAAAAATAACAGATAAAAATTCACAAATTGTTTTTTAAAACGAAAAATGACAGAAAAAATTCACAAAGTGTTTTTGAGCGCCATCTACTGATCAACGCGTGCATTACGTCGGTAATATGCATATATTAAGGTTACAACAAAAATTTTTTATATATTATATATTTGATTATTTAGTACTAGTTTATTGTATAAATAACAAAAATAATTAATATTAATTCAATAGGAAAAAAGTTAATTTTCTGTCATTTTCCTTTCTTTCAATGACAAAATAGAGTATACCATGACAGGTAAATACACTACTCTTTAAAAAAGTTCAATATTTAATAATAAGAGCTTAATTTTCCAATAATATTGCATAAATCGACTCAAAAACATTAATTATTACTTCCTAATAGCAATTTACCACTATTTCAATTATTTTTTGCAATATATTGCCTCAAACCCAAACGAACCGAAACTTGATCGAGCTCAGTCAACTTCTCGTTTTACACAATGCGCCAGGGAGTCAATTAATACTTAATAAATTTAATTAATTAGAATAATATAAAACATCGGATATTCTAAGATAAGTGAGAACACAAGTTACATATTTTATACAATATATGCACAAGCGAGTGCACAAGCATATATTATACAAATAAAAAAATTATTGAATAAAAATAAATAAATAAAAATGAATTATTATTATTTGAGTCCTCCCAAAGATTTTCCTTTTAATAATAAATTTAAATAATTAAAATACTATTGTAGTAGGAGAGAGGGAGGGGGTATAGAATTTTTACTTTATATAGCATACCAGTATGGTACTAGTACAATAACAATACGTTATACTATCTCACAGAAGACTTTTAGTACGCCATACTTTTATCGTACTAGTATTGTACGGTACGACGTACCAGTACAGTACCTGGAACCGTACGGAGGTAGATGGCTGGTACAATACTAGTACGCTTGGTACGCCGTACTCGTATTGTACTTGCACCGTACTAGTACGCTGGTTATCTGAGTAATTATTACTACTTATTATTAAATTGAAAGAATTAAGACCATATTATACACTGTTTAATACAATAAAACAATACCGACGTTTTTGGCAAAATTTAGTTTTTGATATGATTGGATTTGTAGATAACAGCTGTGATCCTTGAAAATCCTTGTATAACTCTTCATATTTTACACAATATTTAGATAGTACAAAACATTCTTTTTTATTTTTTAAAACAACCCACAAAATTGACAAAATATTTTTAACACATTTATCACATATAAATTCTTTTTCGATATGGGCAAATCTCTGGAACTTTGAAAAATGAAGAGAAAAAAATTGAGTAGCACATTCAGAAAAACTTGTATATATAAGTTAAGATCAACATTTAAAATCAGATTTTATAATTGGAAATTTAATATTTTGAAGGTTTTATATATTTTTACTCTTTTTTAAAGTAGATTTTATATAGGTTACAATATCAATTGTTTCGTTCATTTTTTAATGGTTTTAGATTTAATGTCACAGGTTTACATAATATGACTTTTTTTAGTTACCGGAGTGGTTTTCAATGTATTCTTGTGTGCTGAACACGATCTCGGGTTTCAAAATTGCGTATCACGTGAGGATTTTGTGTAATGAGGGGGTAAAGTCTCAGAAAACAGTTTTTTTGAGGGTCTTAATTATTTTTTCTTCTAAACCCGACATACTAGACACTTCTATATAGGTCTAAATTAAAGCTTATATCTTACACTTTAAGACCCATATAAACAAGAAAAACTTTTCTTTTTTAAAAATTGGGGTAAAGAGCCCCCAAAAATGTATGTTTAAGAGACCTGCTAGTGACTTCTAGTAGGCTTAAATTAAAGTTTTAAACGTACATTGTAAGTCCCATATGCCCATAATAAGAAAAATTTTGAAAAAATGAAGTTAATGACTCCAATAATCTTTTTGGGTGATTGAACGTAATTTTTTTCAAAATTAAAATTTTTTTTATCTTGAGCATATGAGTCTTAAAGTGTCAGATATGGGTGAAAATTTCCCAACTGGGCCACCTAAAACTGACTTTTAAAATTTTAAATATTTTTTTTTCATAATCTATTGCAGGAAGCCGAAATTAAAAACATTCCTGAAATGCCATTTTTAAAAAAATTAATTTTTTAATTATTTATTAACAATTGAATATTTTTTTACCTTTCCACTAAATTTGCAATTACTCTGTTGCTTGTTAATAAAATTTGGTGATTATATAGAAAAATAATGTCTCTTTGAAATGCAATAGAAATTTCAATTAACCTTTGTTGTTAATACAAAAAAATTTTTTTTTAAAATTAAGTTATATGATTGTTAAATAATAAAATAAAGAAAAAATTTGATACTCAAGAATTCTAGTCAATAATTCGATAACAGAGAATAGGCATCGACGCGTAGTAGCGCGACGCGCGCGACAGTGGTGACTGTTTCAGCGCCTGCACGTCGCTCTTCAAATTCGCGTAATTCGCTCATTTTTTAAAGGTACTAAGATTTTTTTTTAAATTAAAGTTGAGAAAATGTAGATTTATGTCGTTTTTGAAATTTTTTCCTAAAGATTTGAGAAATAGTTTAAATATTCATTTGTTTATTAAATAAACAAGTTTTTTGCATTAACAACAAAGGTTAATTGAAATTTCTATTGCATTTCAAAGAGACATCATTTTTCTATATACTCACCAAATTTTATTAAATTTCATTAACAAGCAACAGAGTAATTGCAAATTTAGTGGAAAGGTAAAAAAATATTCAATTGTTAATAAATAATTAAAAAGTTAATTTTTTTAATTTTTTTTTTTTTATAAAAAAAATATTTAAAATTTTAAAAGTCTGTTTTAGGTGGCCCAGTTGGGAAATTTTCACCCATATAAGATTTAGTTTAAGCCTATATATAAAAGTCTCTATCACGTGAAGTTAAGGAAAAAAAATACTGAAATCCCTCAAAAACACTGTTTTTGGAGACTTTATCTCCACTTTATTCAAAATCCTGACGTGATACGCAAATTTTGGAACTCGGGATCGTGTTGAAGACACAAAAATACATTGGAAACCACTCTGAAATCTCAAAAAATACCTATTGTTAAAATTTCGTTTTACACGAGTAAAAGTAAATGGAGCGTATCCCCTTAGAGCATCCAGCCCCTCAAATATTTATTAGAAAAATCACAAGAGAGGAATGACATGAAAACTAAAAAATAAATTATGCATAATCTCAATGTACCTACTTTACGTTAATTTACACAATTTATAATTTAAAAATTTACATTTACCTATTACATTTGCAACTCTGCACAATATCGTAAACTATTTATTTTGTTCATAAATAATTAAAATTATCACTCGGTCGCCTTAGTTAAAATATGAAACATTGAGTTGAATGATCACTCTAAGTCAAGTTTGAAATAAAAGTTAATAGCAGAGATGGTACATATTAATTTACAAAAAAATCCTGTCAATAAAAAGGAGGATATACAAAATCTTAATAATTTTTATATTCAACTACTGAATGAAAAGAAATATTCATAACTCTCCTATCTGATTTGATTAACCTTGACATCTCTCTTATTTTATTTTCTATTTACTGATGCGGCCATTCACCTCATTACAGCTGATTCTATGTACTTCTTAAAATGTTACATTTGCATCACCAGTGTCAAATCAAAACTGTTTATTTTCATTTTTCTTCGGTAATTAAATTTTATACAATTTTCATATTAATTATTGCAAAACTAAAAAAATCTACATGTTATATGTAACCTAGTTGTAATTATTTACTAAATTTGTAGTTTCTGAAGATGGCAGCTGCGCTGTCGTAGCGTAAAGAATTGTTTTTCGGAGTGATCGTTAAACTCAATGTTTCATATTTTATTAATTTTTTTTACAAACCATCCCATTACACTAAAATTATTAAATTTAAAACTGTAATTTATAATAATAATTAATAATATTTAATTTATAATTTTATTTATACTAAATATAATTTCACAGTAATATCAGCGAATTAAAAAAAATAAAAAACATTACTATTTGAAGAATGTGTAATGTTTGTTATATAGATTTATCAAAATCAATCAATCGAATGATTAGAATCTAGTTTGCATATACTCAGACCAGCAACATTAAATCTTCTACCTTTTTCTTAATTAATTACTTAAAGTTTTAAAGAAGGTACCAAAATAATTTATTTTAAAATGTTATTTGAATTACATTTCTGTAAGAACATCCGAATTTTTTAACATAAAAATGAGAAGAGCTATTTAACGCAGGCACTAATCAGACTACAGATTAAAAATAACGCCATCTGACGAAACCGTGTCTATATAACATGTATTTATATCTCGAATAATTTAAAATATTTTTTTTCATTCATTAAAATTTGAAAACTTTAATATATGCACCAACTGTCAGTAATAACAGAAAAATTAATTTTTTAATTGGCTAACGGTTTCAAGCTAATTACAATTTCGACCTGTATCGGGGTCTAAGATCTAAATCCTTTGTGGGAGCTGGACGTACAGTAAAAGCAATTGTCTTCATGATTTTATAAGATTCGGTTTGTGGATCTGTTATGTCAACAGGTTTCTTAATTTTTTTTCCTGCTTTAGTGCAACATTTATAAAAATAGTATTCGAGCAGCATAGTGATACAGGACAATGTAATACCTACGAAGATAACGATGAAGACACCTCCGATATTTTGAATACTGATTCCTTCATTTTTATCTCCTTCTCTGGTACAATCTCTTTTTTCGTCATTATGATTCCACCATGTATCCTTTAGCTTCTCTAAAATTCTTCTATTTAGTAAGATTAAAATTCTGCAAAAATAAAAAATTTAATTTTTTATTTATTGTTAGTCCAACTTTAAAAAACACCTACTAAAATGATTCAGTCAATTCACGGCAATTTTTTTGGCACGTTTTTTAGCAACAATACTAATTACATCAAATATTCGGGGAGATTATTCCTCAATAGCCTCAGTCAGAAAATAAAAGTTCTTGGATCGGCTTGATACTTCAGTAAATTGTTTTTCTATATGAAATTAAAAAATCCTTAAAATACTCTTAAAAACACGTTCAATAATTATTCTATGAAATTTTTAGAACAATGTTCTAGAACTTTGGTTCCATCAAGGACATGTAGCAGTTATATCACCAAAAGGTTATAGTGTTCTACAACAAAATTCCTAATTTATTACATAACAGTTCTATTTTCCTATTCTAGGACTGTTCTAAAACAAATGTTCTATAAGTGTTCTAGAACATACAAATCACAAATATTATAGAGAAATTTTGTGCTCTTTTTATTAAAGAATTATGCTAAAGCAATGTTATGTCACCTTTCAAGAACGTTTCGTTTTAGAGAAAATCAACAAATTTGTTCCTAAATTGTTCTGTAACAAATCGACGCCCCTCGTTGATATAATGCTTATTCGAACGCTAATGTAATATAATTCTTATTCAGGTTTTTGTGTAATATAATGCTTATTCGACATCGCGGGGAATTTGATTTTTATTCGATACTCCGGACAATATAATGCTTCTTTGAGGTTCAGCATAATATAACACAGACCAACAGAATTAGAAAATTTTTATGGTGCGACAAATGTCAAAGATGTTTCTTATAGATTTTTTCATGATGAACACGAATCCATAAACGAAAAGTTTCTATCAGCTATAGTTTTTGAGAAAAACCGGTTTAAAATGTCAAGAATCGCGTTTTTGGCAAACTTTAAGAATCTCTAGCACCGAAACAAAAGGTCGTAAAACCTTTCACTTGGGATTAAATTGAAGCTTAATGTTTTAACTATAATCCCCAAAAATCACCTTTCTTACAGCATGACCTCCAAGTCATTTGTAATCCATTTTTTAGTTGCAAAAATTAATTTTGGAATAATTTGAGTGCGTACCTCCAGTTATGAAATTAAAGGTCATATAACCTTTTTTGGGATTAAACTGAAGTTTGAAATTTAGACTACAATCCCTGAAAATTAATTTCCAGCTGAGATAGGCCAGTACTTCTGGGTTAAAGTTAGTTCAAGCCCACAGTGTCTTCTTTTCAAAAATCTAATCTTTTGCGAAGTTTGTGTATAATGGATTTTACATCATTAATTTGACAAACACAATTCTGCAAAATTCATTTTGCATAGTTAAATGTGTTGTATTTTGTAAAATTAGATTTTGAAAATAAATTTTGTCAAAACGATTAATTAATTCTGAATAGGAATTATATTACACGGAGATTTGAATAAGACTTTTATTACACGGAAAATTGAATGAGACTTTTATTACACTGAACTTTAAATAAGCATTATATTCTCTGGAGTTTCAAATAAGAATCATATTCCCCGCAATTTCAAATAAGAACTATATTACATTAGCGTTCGAATAAGGATTATATCAACGGGAGGCGTCGAAATGTTCTATAACAGTTCCAAAATATATAAAAAAAAAAAAACAAACAAAAAAGAAATTTTTAACATCAATTTTCAAGAAAAAGATTGAGTACATGTAAATAGCCGAACTTCAGAAAAGGTTTAAGCGTGAAACTTGCCAGAACCTGTAAATCACATCTTCGGTAAAGGTTTAGCCCGAAAGTTGACTAAATATGTAAATTAAATGTTTATTGAAGGGTTAGTAAGCACCACATCTTTTTTAAAAAAAAATTGATTTTCTAATAACTGCATATTCATATATTAGGCATTTTACGTGTAATGTCCTGAGTTAAAAAATTTATTTCTCGAAAAAAAGTGAAACTTAGGGAAATTGTTGTCCTACCTGATAGTAAAATATCCCCAAAAAAATTTTTGACTTTTTTGAAATTTTGGGGAAGATAGAGGGGGTCAATTTTATCAGTTTTCATTAACACCACCTACTATTTGAATTTTTACTGTCTATAAAAGCAATAAAAAAAATTTTGGCAGGTATGTTTTTTGAAGGTTTTTTCATGCTCTTTCAAATGGTAAATTTTGATTTTTAAAATTTTTGAATTTTGACCTTGATTTTCTATAATTAAACATAAATTTGCTATTTTAACAAAAATCGGTGCGTTTTTTTTTAAATAAATAATTGCAAACGAAAGCTGAGGTTTTTTCCGATCTGTATATAAATTTTCAGAATGCCGATTTTTTTTGTTTTCGAGATAGTAAATGTAGAATTATTTATTTAACAAGTTGTAAATTCAGATGTTCATTACATGAACATTTTGCTTCCTCTTTACGATCAGCAAAAAAATTTGCTTCCTCGTGGAGAAAGCAAAATTTTATTGCTAAAATGTGAATTTTTGATTTTTTAACTTTCATTAATTCTTTAAATTTACCTCAAATGTATACTTTATATATATATATATATCGATCGATTCGTCTTGACGTAAGGAATACGATTTTGGGTATTTTTTAAAATCCTTTGGTCAGATTTGAGATATTAATATGATAAATGAGCCTACCAAATTTTATCTAAATCCATTAAAACCTGTTAAAGTTATCTCCTAAACAAAAACGGGATCCACATACACACACATACACACACACAAACATACATCCTGACAATTGATCAGGATCTCATATAACATGTTTCTATAAAGAAAAAAATTTGTTTCCGCCACTTTGAAAAGTTTTATAAACGAAAGGACTACAAAGCTTCCTCCACGAGGAAGCAAAAAAACGCACCGATTTTAGTGAAAATAGCAAATTTATGTTTAATTATAGAAAATCAAGGTCAAAATTTAAAAATTTTAAAAAACGAAATCAAATTTCAAAAAAGTCAAAAATTTTTTTGGGGATATTTTACTATCAGGTAGGACAACAATTACCCCAAGTTTCACTTTTTTTCGAGAAATTAATTTTTTAACTCAGGACCGTAAAATGCGTCATATGTAGAAATGCTATGGAAACTATTATTTTGGTTGGAAACTTCGGTAACATATCGCAAAACGAGGTACAATGCAAAAATCACGCGCTCATGAAGCGCCCGCGTGGAAATGGAAGTATGGGCAAAAGATGGCAAAGTATGGCCAACTATGGGTTAAACATGGCCAAAAGCTGACAAAGTATGGCAACAGTATGGCAAAAGTATTGCTAATGACCGAATCCCATAGTTAAAGTATGGCTTCAAAAAAAAACCATTTTTTTCAATTCTCCAACTATGGGCGAACTATGGGCAAAGTATGGCGAAGTAAGGGAGGCAAAAAAAATCATTTTTTTCAAATTCTTCAAATATGGGCGAACTATGGGCCAAGTATGGCGAAGTATGGGAGGCAAAAAAAATCATTTTTTTCAAATTCTTCAAATATGGGCGAACTATGGGCCAAATATGGCGAAGTATGGGAGGCAAAAAAAATCATTTTCTTCAAATTCTTCAAATATGGGCGAACTATGGGCCAAGTATGGCGAAGTATGGGAGGCGAAAAAAACCCTTTTTTAAAATTTTTGAACTATGGGCGAACTATGGGCCAAGTATGGCGAAGTATGGGAGGCGAAAAAAACACTTTTTTCAAATTCTTCAAATATGGGCGAACTATGGGCCAAGTATGGCGAAGTATGGGAGGCAAAAAAAATCATTTTTTTCAAATTCTTCAAATATGGGCGAACTATGGGCCAAGTATGGCGAAGTATGGGAGGCAAAAAATCATTTTTTTCAAATTCTTCAAATATGGGCGAACTATGGGCCAAGTGTGGCGAAGTATGGGAGGCAAAAAAAATCATTTTTTTCAAATTCTTCAAATATGGGCGAACTATGGGCCAAGTATGGCGAAGTAAGGGGGGCAAAAAAAATCATTTTTTTCAAATTCTTCAAATATGGGCGAACTATGGGCCAAGTATGGCGAAGTATGGGAGTCGAAAAAAACACTTTTTTTAAAATTTTTGAACTATGGGCGAACTATGGGCCAAGTATGGCGAAGTATGGGAGGCGAAAAAAACACTTTTTTTAAATTTTGGAACTATGGGCGAACTATGGGCCAAGTATGGCGAAGTATGGGAGGCAAAAAAAATAATTTTTTTCAAATTCTTCAAATATGGGCGAACTATGGGCCAAGTATGGCGAAGTATGGGAGGCAAAAAAATATCAATTTTTTCAAATTCTTCAAATATGGACGAACTATGGGTAAAGTATGACGAAGTATGGGAGACGTCCATAGTTCGCCCATAGTTCAAAAATTTAAAAAAAGTGTTTTTTTCGCCTCCCCTACTTCGCCATACTTGGCCCATAGTTCGCCCATAGTTCAAAAATTTTTAAAGAAAGAGTTTTTTTCGCCTCCCATACTTCGCCATACTTGGCCCATAGTTCGCCCATATTTGAAGAATTTGAAAAAAATAATTTTTTTTGCCTCCCATACCTCGCCATACTTGGTCCATAGTTCGCCCATAGTTCAAAAATTTAAAAAAAGTGTTTTTTTCGCCTCCCATACTTCGCCATACTTGGCCCATAGTTCGCCCATAGTTCAAAAATTTTTAAAGAAAGAGTTTTTTTCGCCTCTCATACTTCGCCATACTTGGCCCATAGTTCGCCCATATTTGAAGAATTTGAAAAAAATGATTTTTTTTGCCTCCCTTACTTCGCCATACTTTGCCCATAGTTCGCCCATAGTTGGAGAATTGAAAAAAATGGTTTTTTTTGAAGCCATACTTTAACTATGGGATTCGGTCATTAGCAATACTTTTGCCATACTGTTGCCATACTTTGTCAGCTTTTGGCCATGTTTAACCCATAGTTGGCCATACTTTGCCATCTTTTGCCCATACTTCCATTTCTACGCGGGCGTATACGCTTCTCGAAGAGTATACTCTTCGCGAGTACAATGTATGCTTTTATATATATAT